TCTTTGTTTATTATAAATCTAATACTGCAAGTTTCAGTTCAGTGAACTCACATCTTATTTGGAATCTGGGTCTAAAGTCGCCTAAAGCTGGTGGAAATGTAATTGTACAAAAGCAGACGAGGTCTGTTAATTTGTAATCGACAGCGGCGTGGCCTGACAAGCTTCGCCTGTGGTTCCGAGCGCCCGTCTCTCCCACGCAAAGCGCTCGGATCAGGCACATTTACATACGATGCACTTGGTATTTTTCACGATGGAAACGTGTAATTTTGCAAATGGTTATGGATTGTTAATTTGGCTGAATAGCAAACTCAAATTACAGGTAACAGGCTGGGTGCACTTTCCCTTTTCCTGGGTTTCTCTTGAAGCAATCACGGCGAGGGCCGCATACCAGGCCCATCTCGGCAGGGGACGGGGTGGGCATGGCCGATGCCCGCCTGCCTGGCAGCCGCAGGGAGGTTAGGCCCCAGGCGGGTTGCTGCCCTCCGGATTCCAGGTCCCTGGAGCCAGAATATTCCTGCCGTCCCGACACGTGCTCAGGAGTCAGACAGAGGCCCCACCTGGGGATGGAGGAGGTCAGGTCTGGGAGACCCCTCTGGGCCTCCGCTTCCTCACCCATGTGGGGGAGCCCTGGGGTCGGCCGCCTGCCCACTGGCCTGATGGGCGAGCGGGGCCCGTGGCATGGGGGTCATGAGAACCCTTGTCCTTTGCGTGTTGGCTCTGCGCCTCCTCCCCAGGACTGAACCTCTGGGGACGTGGGAGCAGCCAGGTCCTGCCCTGACCCTACTGCCCGAAGCCCACGCTCGGTCCCCACCAGTGGCCCTGTGGGTCCCTCTGGACAATCGCTGACAGATGTGGTCAGCCCTGATTCGGGTCCCGAGGGACACTGACCTCTGTGCCTCCCTGTGACCTCCCTGACCTCTGTGCCTCCCTGTGCGCCGGAGGCGTCACTCTCCGGACCCGATGGTGCTGGAGAGATGGCGTTCTCAGGACCTCGCGTAGCGCACCAAAAGCTCTCAGCAAACACCTGCTCTCTTGCCCTCAGGGGCCGGGCGGGGCCGGGAGTAGGGGGCAAAGATGGACCCCGGGGTCCCGCTTTCCCGAGACCCAGGTGATGCTGTTCATTTGGGGGCGTGAGTGTGAGAGAGCTGCCTCGTCCCCGTGGGACAGGCAGGCCACAGCCCCAGGCAGGGCCCATCCCTGTACAGGGCCTGTGATGCTCATTTTCAATTTCATACTTCTGGGGAGAAACAGGCCTGTTTTGGCTCCTGGTGTAGAATGTTTATGCAGATGCCAGGGTCCTTGGCATCAAAATAAACTTTCTCGTGCTTGGTCCTGGCCCTGGGGCAGGGGATCAGAAGGAGCCCAGGCCATGACTCCCTGCGGATTCACAGTCCTGGAGGTTCCCAAACCAGCTCCCGACCATGGAGGAAACTGAGGCAGAGAAGGGAGTGGAGGTTGGTGACCTCGAGGAAGGGAGTCACTGAAGAAGAGAGACTCACAAATCTGAGTAGCAGATACCTGGGCCTGTGTCTTTTTGTCTTGGTCCCAGCTCAAAGCTCACCCTGGGGCCACCTGAGGAGGCCCCGAGGAAGCTGGCAGTGCCCAAGGACAGACACGGTCCCAGCAAGAGACGCAGGGAGTCCTGGGGCTGCCTCCAGGGAGGGCGGTGCCCAGAGAACTGCCCCACTGCAGCTGTGTGGAGAGCATTTCCAGGGCGAGACTTGCTCAGTCCCACCCCAGGGATCCAGTCTTGAGTCGAGCAGAGGCAGAGGGCAGGAGGTGAGACAGCCCATGCACAGGGGAGGAGGCCCAGGCCCCAGGGGCAGGTGTCCAAGGATGCATGGCTGCCAGGCTCCAGCCTGGGCTCCTCCCTCTCCAGGGAGACCAGGGCCACCGCAGGGCTCCAGAGCCACTCTGGGGCAGGAGCCTGGCTGATTAGACATGAGGAGTGGGTGCAACTACAGATGCCCTCACCCAGCTTCACACACACTCACTCCCAGACACATCTGGATCTGGGCTTCCCACACTCAGTTCCCTGGGCATGGATGGCACTAGGCAGGGAGACAGGCTTGAGGACAACAGGAATGGGCTGGTGTCAGGAAGTCAGCCAGTGTGCAGGCCATGGGAACCCAGGCCCAGCACCCGGGCCATGGGAGGTGACTCTGCAGCTGGGCCCTGCAGGGACCAACAAACCAGGAGGAGCAGTGATGATGGCTAAGGCAGCAGCTGCGTTTCAAAGGCTGAAGCGATGGCTGGTGGGGGGGCGGGGGCCTGGCCGCATCTTTTGTGCATCACTACCTGTCTGCAGCCCCCAAGCCATGCCGGCCTTCCTGTCTGTTCTGCAAGATCTCAGCTCCTTTCACTACCTGTCTGACCCTCAGGGCTAGGGCTTGCAGGCAGCTAGAAGACCTCTGCACCCACCAGCGCTGCTCTCTGTCTCAGCGCAGCCCTATGCACACTTCCTTTACTTTCCGGGTATGTGCTGGCCACAGCCTGCGCCCGGCACGGGGGCCCACAGTCGTCTGCTGAATGAGCGAGCAGCAGCCCCCAGCCTGCCCAGTAAAGGAAGGAAGGACTCAGAAGGGAAGCAAGGCTTTTCTGTCTTCTGCCCGTGAGGCAGACCAGAGGCCAATGGATGGCAGCTTCCCAGGGTCCTGTTTCAGCTTGGCCTGGAGGGCAGGCTTCAGCCGTGGGGGCCTTTCTGGAGAGGCACAGCGATGCCGCAGCCCGCGGCTCAGCAGCGGGGAGGGGGCAGCATCTGGGGTCGGTTTGCACTCATGGACATGGACACGGCCGTGCTCTCAAATCGCCGCTCTCACCCCTCCACCGTGGGAAGGGATTCTCCATCCTCCTGCAGGAAGCTGGGGCTGTTGCCTCACTCCTGTGGCACCTGGTGGGGGCCCCTGGGCCCAGTGGCAGTGAAGGGGGATGCCCTCAGTCTCCTGGCAGCCTGGGAAGAGGAGCTCAGGGCCCGGCGCAGCCCGGCCTGGGAACTTCGGTCCCACGATGGTAATTTGCACACACCGCCTTCCTGAGCAGCGCTCCGCAGCGCCTCCCAACTTCGCTGATGGAAACCTGGTGATCCATAACCCGTGCATGGCAGATGCCTGCTCGGGGGTAATGTGGTGGTAATGTACATATCGATGATCAATCAGCAGATTTGCAAGAGAGGCATAAAGTATTTAATTATAATTGTGTTGGGCAAGTCTGCGTGGTGGCGGCGACATTTGAATAGGTCACAGCCAGCCCTCACCCCGGTGATGTTGTTGGTATTAAATGCCAGTCACTCTAAGGGCTGGGAACCTTTCTGAAGTTGCAGGATGTCATATGCTGGCAAATTGAAAATGTCCCTTTGCTTTTAAAAACATGATTGATATCCTTTGCAAAACAAACACTACACCTGCCGGTGCACAGATTTTGCCCAGTGCCACCCAGATGTGTGTGCAGAGGGGAAATGCCGCCAAGAAAGCACTTTGCTTTCAGGCTGAGGCCTCCAAACAGTGTCCTGTTTAGGGCAAAGGGTTTTTGGTTCCAAATCAGACTTTCCTAACCAGAACAAAATGCAGGAATAAAGCTAGAACCCAAAAGATAAAACATACATTTTATTTGCTCAGTTGGTAGCAGAAAAATATATCTTCAGATATTCTATAAGCCACATACTTACTTGTGCGTAAGACCATCTGCATCTTACCATCTAAATTATATCCAGTATAATTTAAATCGATGCTTTTAGCACAACCGGCAAAGGGATATAAATAACAGGAAGGCAGACAGACCCATGACACACACCCACGATACACATACACACACACACACGCGTGCACACAGCCACTGTGATAGCCTGGACAAGCCAGCCCACCTGGAGCCACACACCTGGGCTGTAGGTCCCCCATCCATAAAATGGGCCTGAGAGCAACACGCCCATCTCCTAGGGCTGGTATGTGGCCAGGGAGGCAGCACCTGTCCCAGGGCTCAGCTCTGTGTCCCACAGGCAGTAGGAGCCCCACAGGCTTTGGCTATTTGAGCAAAGAGTTCTGGAAACAAGCACCTGGCATTTGCAAAGGAGAGTTGTCGACAATACAGGCTCATGTCTGCCTGTAGGAAAGGGCATTTGAGGCTGGGCGCCTTGTCCTCCTGCCAGGCTGAAGGGCGGCTGTGTAGGCAGAGGCTGCGGTTGGCAGGGCCTGGTGTGAGTGGCACGGCACGGAGCCGGAGGCCAGGCTTTTCACAGCATTTGCCACGAATGGCTTTCTTCCCTCTTCCCAAGACAATTAAGAGGACACATCGAGTCTCTATTTACAGGGTAGGTGGGTGAAGGAGTACTTGGCTTTAACAAAATATCAAGCCTTCCGAACAGAAGTGGAGCCAGGGTTAAACGTGTCTTTTGCATGATTCGGGCCTGTCTAGCAGCCCGCCTGCCTTCATGGACTCCCAGCCCCTGTTTTTTAAGAGAGTCTGATAAAACATGACTATTTTATTCCCAACTGAGACAGCCAGCCTCCTTGGGTGTGTGTTTGCAGCTCACAAAATGAGCCAATCGTTGTCACCTAGTGAATCAGATTAGGTGTAATCGATACTAATGTTCAAATTAAGTCATGGAAAGCAATTAACTCTGCAAAAATGGGCTGGTGAGAAATGATAAGGTTGGTCAAATAGTTTCACTGTGTATAATTGTGTTTTTTAAAATGCCCATCTCTACACAGTAATTAAATCATTTACATTTCAAATGCAGTTTACCCACCTCGGATGCTTGTAATCGCACACGTCCTTAATTGTACACCTCACAGTGTAGCGGGAGTTTTATCAACAGCCTGCTCTCCGGCAGGCTGAGAAACCTGCTGCATAGAAGGTGCCAGAATAGGGGCCCCCTCCCTGCTCAGAAGAGTCGAGGGAATTGGGTTTGCCCCAAGGATCACCTCCCCCTCAGCCCGAGCCCCTCCCTCCCACCCTTCCTTCCTTCTTTCCTGTACAAAAAGTACAATGGATTTCCTAAACCATCATCAAAATATTCTGCCAACAGCACAAGGAATATTTGTCACTTCTGATCACATCATCTGTAATGGGGACACCGTCATAAACATTGGGGTCACTAGTATCAATTAGTATCAATCTTCACGGTGTGCATTTTATTAGTATTTTTAACTATAGGGAAGATGTTAACCAGCCTGACTGACAGTTTGCTGAGCACACTGGCAGCTTTCGGTTTGTGCTGTCTACGAAGGACGGTCTTAAACCACGGAGGAATTTTCATCACCTTGACATTAGGGAACAGGACCCTAGGTTCCCATTCCCCAGAGCAGGAGTAGTTGGTGGGTCTCCAGCAACCGGTAATTAACACTGGAACCCAGCAGGGCTTTCCCTGCAGGGAAGCTTTTTTCTGAATACACAAAGTCACAATCCCACAATAAATACCTCTCCTAAGACAGACCTCTGCCCTTCCCTCCAACCCAGGCTGATCTCAGAGAAGTGACAGCTGGTGGCAGCGCTGGGGCTTCCTGGCTCAGGGGAGGAAGGTCTGGCGGGAAGACCCAGAGTGATTGTGCAGCACCAGCTCACACTGTCCACAAGTGGAGGTTCACCTGCGGGGCCTGCAGCCAGGGGTGTCTGCCCTCAAGCGCCCCGACACTGGGCCCCGGAGAGGGGCCGGGCGCGGAGAGGATGTAGTCAATGCTGAACTTGATGTCCCTGGGGTGCGCCTTCCCAGGGTTGGCTGGGCTGGCTGCAGGCTCTCGGGGGCCGGCCACTCCCGCGCCGTCTGGGGCTGGGGACCCCCGCACAGCAGTCGGCTGGGAAGGATCCTGGGGCCCCTCGGCGTCCCCAGCGCACGAGCCCCGCGGCCCCTGCCGTTTGGGGCCACGCCGCCGCCGCCTCCGGCGGTAGTTGCCGTTCTCGAAGAGGTCCAGCAGCGACTCGCAGCCTCCCGCGAACGTCCAGTAGTTGCCTTTGCCCTTCTCGTGGCCCTCGGTCCGCGGCACCTGCGTAGCACAGTGGGACTCAGCGCTGCCGCGCGTGCGCCCCGCCCAGCCAGGTGCGCGCACCCTCACCGAGCAGGTGGAGGCGCCCCACTAGCCAAGGGCGGACTTCGCTGCTGCCGCTGTGACACGCTGAGACATCCCTCCCAGTCCCCATCCCCAGGAACAACTCAGCCCAGGTGTCACCGAGCTGGGGAGACAGGGGTGGGGGGACAGTGGTTGGGGCAGAGGGCAGGGAGCTCACCTTGATGAAGCAGCTGTTGAGGGACAGGTTGTGGCGGATGGAGTTCTGCCAGGCGCGCTGGTTGGCGCGGTAATAGGGGAACTTGCGCATGATGAAGTCGTAGATGCCCGACAGGGTCACCCTGCCCGCTGGGCTCTGTTGGATGGCCATGGCGATCAAGGCGATGTAGCTGCGAACGCCCCGAGCCAGGGTGTCAGTGACAGTGACTGCGGCGCGCTGCTCCCGCTCCGCCCCGCCCCCGCCCCAGCGGCTCTTCCCCGGCACCTGGGACCCTCCCCAGGGAGGCTGAGAGAAACTTCCCCCTCTACCCCGCCAAGTGCCCACAAATGCGTCCTTTCTCTGAGCCCCGCCCGGAAGCAGAAAGCCCCCCACCTTCCTCCTTCCCAGGCAGGTCCTGGCTACCTGAGCACCCTGAAGAGGAGGGTCGCTGTCCCCCAAAGCCCCTGCCATTGACCCCCGCGGTCACCTGTACGCGGGCCGCGTGAGCCGCTTTTCTTCGTCGGAGCTGCCCGCCGGGTAGTCGTCGGCATCGTAATTGAAGCAATTGTAGGGATACTGTGAGCTGTCAAACATCGCGATGTGCCCGGCACTCGCGGGTGCCACTGCTGCCGCTGCCGCCTCCTCCGCGCCGCCCGCCGGCTGCCAGCTCTGCGCAGAGGTCCTGCCAGCGCCGGCCACAGCGTCTGCACTGCGGGCTGCTCACGCCTGCCCGGGGAGCCTGGGCTTCTGGGGTCCCCCGCCGCCCCCGCCCCGTTCTCTGGCGTCCAATCCCTGCGCGGGGGAGGCCCCAGCCACCGGTAAAGCTACCGAGGGGAGCGGAGGGGGCTGTCTCGACGACCCTCTGACCCGCTGCGGGAGGAGGGAGGAGGGGGCGCACTGGGTGGTCTGACGGTGGGGCGGCCTCCCGCTGCCTTCCCCCGGCCCTCATCACACACCCTGCTCTCTCTGGCTGTCCCTGTCCCCAGAGTTAGAGGTGGAGCTTCTCATAGGTCCCCGCTCTGGTAGAAGTTTCCTCGGAGCTCCCGGGTCCTGTGCTCGCCCTGGGACACAGTGGTTCTTCTTGCGGGCTCGGATCCAGACACCTGGGCGCTCAGCAGAGTGGGCTGCCAGGCCGGGGAGAGCCACCGTCACAGCCTCCGGCCCAACCCTGCTGGCCCCACCTCTTTCCTCTCCGGAGTGATGGGGTCTGGGCAGAATCTGCGGTACTGGAGCATCTTCATGCCCAGGTCCAGGAGAAGAGAATCCTGAATGAATTGCACATGTGGCCAGGGGAAGTTCAGACCCCTGAGGGTGGGTGCGGGTGAATCTGCACTGTGGTCTCCTTTCTGGGATCTCAGGACACTCAGGAGAAAGGATGGGGCAGGTAAGAGCCTGGGAAGCCTCCCCGCACCCCACCAGGTAGGCCTGGGGAGCCACTCGCAGGAGGTGCCCAGAAAGACCAACTGCACCTGGGGGGAGAGGGTGGGCACGGCCCCCTGCCCTAGGGAGATCCCTGCAGCTGAGGGAAGGGAGGACCCCTGGGAGCCTCCCATCCCCCGAAGAGACCCTAAGACCTAAGACCTTGGCTGAGCCAGAACCACAGGGAACACCCCAGACCTCCACCCCACCTGCTGCCTCCACTGCAACTCCAGCATTCGTCCTGTAACAGGTGGCAGCATCCCACTGCCTGGGGAGAGCCTCGAGAGGGGAGAGGGGCCTGCCCAGGAGCAAAGGAAGGTCTGATGTGGACCGCAGAGCAGACAGGGAGAGAGGCCTGCCCCCAAGGACCAGTGCAGCCCGTGTCGCACTGAGAGGGGCGGGGGACGTAAACCAGCTCAGCCAGACGGGAATGACCCGAGGGGCCCAGCAAACACAGGCTGGCTCCTCTCTGGGCACAAATACATTTATCTGTTCCTACAAGGTATACAGTTTTCAGCCCCAAACTTACAAGACACATAAGTAAATAAAAACAACATACTGGGCCAGGCGTGATGGCTCATGCCAGTAATCCCAGCACTCTGGGAGGCCGAGGCAGGAGGATTGCTTGAGCTTAGGAGTTGGAGGCTGCAGTGAGCTGTGATGGTGCCACTGCACTCCAGCCTGGGTGACAGAGTCTCACTCTGTCTCAAAACAAAAACAAAACAAACAAACAAAAACAACCCCCCCCCAAAAAAAACCCAGTAACAACAACAGCAAAACCACACTGTTTAGAGACAAAGCATTTAGTAGACCCAGAGTCATGGGTAAGACAAACGTGGAACTTCCAGACAGGTAATAAAAATAACTACGACTAAGGAGCTAATGGCTCCAGTGGACGAGGAGAGCAATGTGACAATCAGATTAAGGAACCTCGGCAGAGAAGTGGAAACCATGCAGCAGACTCAAACGTGACCAAGGAAGAACGCGGTGACAGGGATGAAGGCAGCTCCATGGACAGCCTGGACATAGCAGAGAAACACCAGCAGGCCTGAGGGTCAGTCACTAGGACTTCACAAACTGAAACAGAGGCAGAAAGGAGAGGAAAGTGAGCAACCGGGCACGGTGGGACAATGCTGAGTAGGTAACAGACGTGTTAGAATCCAGGAGGAACGAAGGAGAGAATAGGGCAAAAGACATATGTAAAGAGATAACAGCCTAGAAATTTCCAAAGTCAATGAAACACTCAAACCGCAGATCCAAGCTTGGAGAACAAGAAACACACACACAGGTTTCCAATAGTATTAACATCAATCTTTAAAAAAAGAAATAAATTTAGTTTATCAAACAGCATAATCTGTTCTTATAATCCAGAAAGAGACTAGACCTTTGTGTTTTAAACCAGGCTCTTTACATAACAGCATTGCTGGAGAACATTCCTGCGCAAAATGAGCTTTTTCTCTTTTAAAAATGTATTTTTCTGTTTTTGCAAGTAGGAAAGTTAGCAGTGAAGACCGGGCTTTGAGTTCGTACTCTCACACCACACGTGTGCTCCAGCCCCTTGCAATGAAGGATAAACGCCTTGAATAGTCACTGATGGCCTCTGAGGACCAGAACCATGAATGCCCATCAGGGACAGAGAGAGGTGGCTGCCTCGAGGGAGGTGCCGTGGCCTGGGGACAGTCTTGGTCTCTGGGGAAGAAGGTCGTCTGTGTGTCATCACCCAAAATGGAGCCTCTACCTCTGAAAGGGAGTTGGAAAAACCCGGTGCGCCCGCTGAACCAGCAGCAGTTGCAGGCCTGCACGTGGCTCACGGGAGAGGCCCTGGCAGGTCCCGTCTTTTCCTGTGTCTCTCCTCAGACAGGGCCAAGGACACGGAGCCGGGGAGGGAAAGGCGCTTTTGAAGTAGGGAACAAATGAACCTTAAAAACAGATGGTGGAGAAGCAGCACACGTTGTTTACTTATTTTGTTGAATGGAAAATACAGTTTGGTTAGTTAGAAAACCTTTCTGGCGAATTTTGGTTTCTTAGAATTCTGAAACATGTGCTTTACTTAGTTCTGAAATAACTTATTGATTCATTGGGCGCATGGCGGTGAGCAGGATGCTTCTCTGATGCATCAGAGATGTCCCTAAAATAGCAATAATAAAAATAAGATTGCTAATAATAATGTAGCACTCTGGGAGGCCAAGGCGGGCAGATCATTTGAGGTCAGGAGTTCGAGACCAGCCTGAGCAAGAGTGAGACCCTGTCTGTGCTGGAAGAAAGAAAGAAAGAAAGAAAGAAAGAAAGAAAGAAAGAAAGAAAGAAAGAAAGAAGAAAGAGAGAGCAGGGAGGAGGGAGGGAGGGAGGAAGGAAGGAAGGAAGGAAGGAAGGAAGGAGAAAGAAGGATGGAAGGAAGGAAGGAAGGAAGGAAGGAAGGAAGGAAGGAATTAGCTGGACAACTAAAAAATATATATAGAAAAGAAAGCCAGGCATGTGGTGCATGCCTGTAGTCCCAGCTACTCGGGAAGGCTGAGGCAGGAGGATCACTTGAGTCCAGGAGTTTGAGGTTGCTGTGAGCTGGGCTGACACCACAGCACTCCACGGAGTCTAGGCTGACTCCACAGGCAACAGAGTGAGACTCTATCTCAAAATAAATAATAATAAATAAAAGGCCAGGCGCGTGGCTCACGCCTGTAATCCTAGCTCTCTGGGAGGCGGGGCGGGCAGATTGCTGGAGGTCAGGAGTTACAAAACCAGCCTGAGCAAGAGCGAGACCCCGTCTCTACTATAATAGAAAGAAATTAATTGGCCAACTAATATATATAGAAAAAATTAGCCGGGCATGGTGGCGCATTGCCTGTGGTCCAGCTACTCGGGAGGCTGAGGCAGGAGGATCGCTTGAGGCCCAGGAGTTTGAGGTTGCTGTGAGCTAGGCTCACGCCACGGCACTCACTCTAGCCTGGGCAACAAGCGAGACTCTGTCTCAAAAAAGAAAAGAAAAGAAAAGAATGTAGAGCAGCAGCAAACACTCACCTCCCCACACTGGCAGGTCCACAATCGTCACCTCTGCGGACTTGCCTCCTCTCAGGACGGCCCCGAGAGCTGTCCCCATTCACGGGGACAGGGAGGCTCATGAACTGTCCACAGTCGCACCACCTGCGTGTGAGGCAGGGTTGGACCGGGCACTCTGGCCCCAGCCCCAGGGAGGGCTGAACCCAGCAAGCGAGTTCCAGCTCTCAGAACAGACCATGCGGAGCCGTGGTGGGTGCAGGACCCGCCAGGGAACCGCCACCTCCCCTTGGGAGTGTTCACGGAAACCCGTGTCCCGTGACTCACAGACACATCCACTGACATGTCTGAGTTCCGGCCAACACGGATGATGGGATACCACGAATGGACACTGAACAGAACAGGGGCATATTGTTCCCGGCGCATACATATGTGACCTAGCAGAGAGATGGCAGAGGGCACAGGGACCTCAGAACCATCTCTGTGATCTCTTGCGGTCTTGTACTTGTTTGTTTTTGTATTTTTCATTAAAAGCAGTGTTTATTATAAAAGTTTATAAAGTAGAGAAAGGTGTTTAAAAACCCACCTACGTTCAGAGCTAGCCACTATCCGAAGCCTGACACATATTTTTCTGAATTTGGAGTGTTGGTGCCGTTTGCAAACCGCTGTCACATAACCTGTTTCGAAACCTTGATTTCTTTTCTTTTCTTTTTTTTTTTTGAGACAGAGTCTCGCTTTGTTGCCCAGGCTAGAGTGAGTGCCGTGGCGTCAGCCTAGATCACAGCAACCTCAAACTCCTGGGCTCGAGCAATCCTTCTGCCTCAGCCTCCCAAGTAGCTGGGACTACAGGCACGAGCCACCATGCTCGGCTAATTTTTTGTATATATATTTTTAGTTGGTCGATTAGTTTCTTTCTATTTTTTTTTTTTTTAGTAGAGGCGGGGTCTCCCTCAGGTTGGTTTTGAACTCCTGACCTTGAGTGATCCACCCGCCTCAGCCTCCCAGAGTGCTAGGGTTACAGGTGTGAGCCACCACGCCCAGCCTGAAACCTTGATTTCTAATGTCTACACCATAGTGAGTGGGTCAGAATTCACTTATAAATCATATTTTAAATGTTTCTGGGGAGCACGTGATTTCAGGCCCCTCGTGATAGAATCGCCACCTGCCAGTTTGTCACTAGATTT